CATTTAATATACATGCAATGCAATGAAAATCGAAAGAAAAGTATTTAAAGTACGTGTTATAAGAATTGATGTTCCGTTGGACTGGTATTTGTGATCAAACAGTTAATGTGAATTTATATCGGTATGCAAAGCTTATATGATAACTTATTGATGAAATCGACGATATCTACATTTTTGCCATTGTACTAGACTTTACAATCAATTCCGTCACGTGTTTTCCCCTTCAGATTTGCTGGAAAGCGTAAGACTTATGTGCCCTTTTATTAGAAAATAAATATTTCAAAGTCGGCCTTGCTAGTTTTTATGAATATATAACAAAGAGTTTTCTAACTACGTGTACATCGATTTACTTATTGGGGGAGGGGGGAGCAAAATTTATCATACTTTTTTGTAACATTTGTGTAAGCCTGAATATAAAATTTAAATATTTCATTGCTATATACATGTATTTTCTTTTTGGTTTGTACTTTGTGTGTGTGAGAGAGGGAGATTTCCTTCAGCTTTCCAGCTCTGTTCCTATTCTATTCATATTCTAAATAAAAAATATACATGTATTTAATTTTATACAGCAGCCTGTATAGTTAAAATTTATCAATGACTCGATGCAAAAATGAAGAACGTAGCTCCCTATGCATTTATATTCAAAGTAATTCCTCGAGATCTCCATAAGCATATGACATACGCAAACAGCTTAAATATGACCATAGCCTGATCTTATTAAGAATTACAATGAAAGCGGAACAGGACGGGCAATATGTCGGATACACGCGAAATCTCCATACGTCGTACGCGGGTTCATCGAGTGCAGACTGGAAAGAAGAAAACAAGATGAAGTTCCCCTGGGACCAACTCCCTTAAAGCTGGAGGTCACAAGGGAGTCTTACACAATGTCTGTAAGATACCCCATCTTGATCCGTAACTTAGAGTTATATCACTTAAACGAAGTCACGGAAAGACGTCGTTAACTACGTTTATTTACATATTAACGCAATCATGTTTCTTTTGGGCCATACACCTAGTAGTAATTCTGCATACAGTCTAGTGAAAAACAGGGAAATATTTTGCTTGCCATTGTAATTTTAAATCTAACCATTTACTTATTATCATTTTTTAAATTATTTTCCCGCCCGAATATAAATTTTCGCTAATCATAATTATTAGTTTGTTTTTCGTGTTATATTTGGACTAATCTTGTTAAATTCATTGTTTCTTTTGATCTGTACGCATACTAGTGATTCTGCAGTTTAGGGATCAACAGAAATATTTTTATTATCATTATATTATTACATGTACATTTCACTCCTTAATTAATATATAAATTTTCCCGCTCCATGGAGAATCAATCTTCGATGATATTATCATAATGATTGGATGCTTGTTTTCTAAATCTTATTTTCTATTGGACAACATTGATATAAATCTGTTTTGACCAGAAATAAAATTTGTGGCGATCAGCAGTAACCAAAAATCTCGAAATACTTTTTTTAACGTAACCTGCCGCGAGTTTACATGTAATTCTGCTACCACGGGTTTATGTGTAATTCTGCTACCACGAGTTTAAGTGTAATTCCGCTACCACAAGTTTACGTGTAATTCTAATACCACGAGTTTATGTGTAATTGTAATACCACGGGTTTACATGTAATTCTGCTACCACGAGTTTACGTGTAATTTTGCTATCACGAGTTTACATGTAATTCTGCTACCACGAGTTTACATGTAATTCTGCTACCACAAGTTTACGTGTAATTCTGCTACCACAAGTTTACATGTAATTCTGCTACCACGAGTTTACATGTAATTCTGTTACCACGAGTTTACATGTAATTCTGCTATCACGAGTTTACATGTAATTCTGCTATCACGAGTTTATATGTAATTCTCCTACCACGAGTTTACGTGTAATTCTGCTACCACGAGTTTACGTGTCATTCTGTTACCACGAGTTTACATGTAATTCTGATACCACAAATTTACGTGTAATTCTGCTATCACAAGTTTACAAGTAATTCTGCTATCACAAGTTTACATGTAATTCTGCTATCACAAGTTTACATGTAATTCTGCTATCACAAGTTTACATGCAATTCTGCTATCACAAGTTTACATGTAATTCTGCTATCACAAGTTTACATATAATTCTGCTACCACAAGTTTACATGTAATTCTGCTACCACAAGTTTACATGTAATTCTGCTACCACGAGTTTACATGTAATTCTGATACCACAAGTTTACGTGTAATTCTGATTCCACAAGTTTACGTGTAATTCTGATACCACGAGTTTACATGTAATTCTGCTACCACGGGTTTACATGTAATTCTAATACCACGAGTTTATGTGTAATTCTGCTATCACAAGTTTACATGTAATTCTGATACCACAAGTTTACATGTAATTCTACTATCACAAGTTTACATATAATTCTGCTACCACAAGTTTACATGTAATTCTGCTACCAAAGTTTACATGTAATTCTGCTACCACGAGTTTACATGTAATTCTGCTATCACAAGTTTACGTGTAATTCTGATACCACAAGTTTACGTGTAATTCTGATACCACGGGTTTACATGTAATTCTGCTACCACAAGTTTACATGTAATTCTAATACCACGAGTTTATGTGTAATTCTGCTATCACAAGTTTACATGTAATTCTGATACCACAAGTTTACATGTAATTCTGCTATCACAAGTTTACATGTAATTCTGCTACCACGAGTTTACATGTAATTCTGCTATCACAAGTTTACAAGTAATTCTGATGCCACGAGTTAACATGTAATTCTGTTACCACGAGTTTACATGTAATTCTGCTATCACAAGTTTACATGTAATTCTGCTATCACGAGTTTACATGTAATTCTGCTAAACTGGGCCAAGGGTTTGTAAAGGTGGTAGATGATATATTAAAGTTACAAAAAGAAAAAAAAGAAAGAAAAAATTAATTCAGGTCATATCAAAAGCCCAGAGTGATACCTGAATTTAAGGAATTCTTGTAACAGGTGATTTTACAGAAGATCGAAGGTTCAAACAAGAATTTCATTTCTTTGGTTCAGGCGTGGAAACCAAGAGACATTATATACTAGTATCTGTTGAAGACTGGCGTATTTTAATTACATGTACATCTAAAAAACTAGATAAAATAACTTCATCATACTTTGAATTCATGACAATGTTTGGTAAAGCGCAAAGTAAAAATAAATAAAATTTAACTTTATGAACGACCCAAGAAAGTGCAAGGCGACATGATCAATAAAATGTTCTAATTTGACTGATAGAAAAAATGCGATATTAACATTCTATAGAAAAAAAGGAAATCAAATTAAAACACTTCCTCCGGGGAATTTTTGTTTTTATTGCACATAATAGATTCTTGCGTACAAGTTCAATTTTTAATGAATGAACAATATCTTCAGCTCTGACGGGTTTATGAAACCGACAAATAAATGTCATGGAAATATTTCTCAGCTAGAACAGTAATGAGAAATTGCATAACACCGAAATGCTTTTAGAATGTGGGCTTTTCCCCCTTGCCTTATTCCCCAGCGTTGCGGTTGCACTCTTGGTGACATATTTCATTATGGGTAGGAAACACGAATGACCTTTAACTTAGACAAACGGCGAGGCAAACAATCTCGTTGTCAATCGACTTCATTTCTAAAAATTCGCTAGAGCAAATCTTTCCAAGAAAAACTTAAGAAAATACATTGTAATCAAATCTAAATTATTTTCTAATGCGCTTATAGCTCAGTTCATTTACAGACTATAATCTTGTTCACGATTTATGAAGGGTGAGCACGATAAAATTTAATTAGAAAAATCCAATAATACTTTTACTTCTCACCTTAATTTCTCTAGTGTGGGTTACTAAAGCCAAAGAACAAAATTTTTTTGCTAAAATTTCCCTTTTCTAAACTTTTAATCAGCAGTACGTTACTAGTATATCAAGTGATTTAATGCTGCCATACAAGTAGAAAACCTATATACACAGGTCACATTTTAATTAAGGTTCATCACCCCTTTCTCTATTAACTCAAAGAAAATTTAGCAAAACTTTCAGCCCCCCCACCCCATTCATCCACCCACCCCCACCCTTTCAAAAAAATTCTAATTTATAATTTAAATGCTAATAATTTCAGGACGCCCTGCAAAATTTGACAGAAATTAGCTTTTAACTTGACATATATATAAAGGAATGATATTTATTTACCCAAAGTGGAGCTATCTCTCTTATCATAGGGCCGATAAACCTTAATGACACAAAAATTTCCCATGGTTTTATCGAATTCTGATATCGTAATAAAATATTTTGAGAAGATGTCTTATTCCTGTTTTCATTTAACGGTTTGCTTGAAGAGCACACTCAACCAAGCAAACTTAAAATATTCTTCATTGTTATAACTTAAAAAATTCTAAAATAATATCATACTTTTTTTCCCAATTGATCCAATTTGTCATGATTGTCGTTCTCTGCAGGATATTATAGAAGTATTACATGTGCTATATCGACCCCAGCAATGAGCATGTCCTAAGTTAGATTCCATACATTTTAGGACCCCCCCCCCCCCTCTCCCAGGGAACACGGAACTTTACTTGCATACGGAGCTAATAAAAACCTTTATACCCAATTTACAAGATGTCATGGCCACCCATATGATATACTGTCGTCGGTTCAATATTGGTACATATGTGTAAATCTCATGTTGCTGAAAGTATCGTACATTTTTATTATTATATGATACTTTTAAGTTAACTTTATTAAATTTTCTGTACAGTCTGTACACTAATGCTAGAAGACTTGACATTAAGAAACATAAAAAATGTGTTACATTCATCGTTCAAATATGTGAAATTACACAAGTTTTGTATCATTCATACGACCCGTGACTCTCAGTTCGACTGAATATTTAGATTTTGGTTTTCAGATTTAAGAACTTTTATAATTGAATGCATATCCTTAGTTAATATGAGTATAGATACAAAAAAAAAACAGATCAATTAAATACCTTTAATTGAATTAATGCAAATTGTTAGAATAAACATCAGAACGCATACATTGCTGTTAAAATACCGGTAGATTTGACAATAAATTGATACATGTACAGTGCGTACTGTTTTTCTAGTTTATAACATTTTTGGCAATTTCAGGATCGTAACAATTCAATACTGACACATACTGACGCATACTGACACATACTGACAAGTATTGACACGTTCTGACACATACTGAAACATTTATAATACATACATGTATCAGAAACAGCATCTGTCAATCAGAACCACTGACTTGCAGATTCAGGAGTGTAACAATGTACGGTATTTTAACAATATAACCACATCATTATATCAGACTTAATTAATCAAAAAGCAATATAGTTAATGCAACATCTATAGATAATTATATCAAATATTTCCAAAAAAATATCCAAATGAAAAAAAAAATCAAAATAAAATTATTTGATTTAATTGCATATCAATTAACAAACAGAAAAAATTTATAAAGGTTCAGGCAATGTTAAGGCGGGTAAAACAAATGTTCATCCAATCTGATTAAATCAAATATTTGATTCGCTACATCACACAATGTGTGGCGATCAACCTTAGCAGATCTAAAAATCTACATTTTCTAGATACTGAAAACTAAAAATCTAGTTGTAGTTGTACATAAGTAAAATGATGTTCACCGGAAAATAATCAAATGATATATGAAGCTCATTTATTTTGCATATAAAAATAAATGGACGGTTAATTAGCTTCAAATTCAAAGACAGTATTGGTCCAATAAATATTAGGTTACACTTTTGTCAACAGACACGATATATACGTATGCATGACAAGATTTACATGTACGTTGGTCAGTGATACAGAAGCATAATTCGTTCATTTCTTTCACAAAATTAGGTCATAAAATTATCAGTGAAGGTATCAGGATAAAGCAGCAGCGTTTATTTATTCATTTGATTGCTAAGAAACTCTTTCCCAAATAATTTACTTCATTTTTAAAGAGTTATGACACCAAATACTATAATATTTTGATCAAAACAAAAGTGTGGCACAAAACATTATTTTCGTAAATATTAAAATAAATATGGCACACAAACTATCACTTTCGTTAACATTTAAAAAAATTATGGCACAATTTTTTTTTTTAGTTTGAGTAAATATGAATTAGATAACACTGGTAATTGAGGCACTTCTACCTATTATGACTATCAATGACGTCACTGCTGATCGAAGGTCGGTAACCTAGGAATGGAAGAATCGTTTCCGGTTGGTTCAGACTCAGTAATCCATTCCATGATCTTCTGATTTGCCTCGGCTTCCGTGATTGGTTCAGGAAGTAGGCTTGGTGAGAGGCCTATAACCTGACTAGAACTTTCCGAAAATATGTCTCCGTCCTGGGAGACGGAAGCAAACATGACTGACTGCGCCACCTGTGAGACATTGACAGTAGGATTCTCTCCCTTTTCTTGAACACCACTGTTCAAACTTGACAAAGAATTCTGGACATTGCCTTTCTCTGTCTGTTGACTAGAGATTTGATTCTTGTTCCCTTTTTCATTATGTGACCCGTTTCCTTTGAGTACCTGGTAATCATCGGTTGTAGGACTTTCTCGAAATGTTCCCACTGGAATTTTGCGCGGCCGTTCTAGAGATAATCCATCCCAGCTATCCTGGTCCAGTGATGGTCGCCATATGCTGTCTTTGGGAACGTGAAGTCCCGTGATCTGCACCCGCCATCTCGTCAGGTCGCTGAGAAATAACTTAAATATGAGCATCACTTTACAATTATGGCGGTCCTGTTTATGTTGCATGCCTCGGCATCCTGAAAAATCAGACGAAAAAATTATTACATCAACTTACTAAATGTATGAATAAAAATCTTAAGCAATAGTACAAAGTTGGATTTTAAATTTTCGACATAAAATTCCGAGTTGTGTGGGGTTTTTTTTCAATAATTAGAGGGATTATGGTAGCCGACAATAGTTCATTGCACCTGAGGCACCCGGTTACATGTAATATAAATAACAGTAATTTTTCGACCTTTGTGTGCCTTTAGGTGTTAACTATTTATACATCAGAAAGATGAAGGGGAGCACGAGTTGCCCGATCGTTTACCCAGGACAAAATGTCAAAAATGGTTTACCTGTAATCTTACGCAAGCCATGAGCTACAATATATGTATATATATATGTATCAATAATGTTTAGAAATACTATACCTGGGATACATTTGCCACGCCCCCCGCACTTCCGCACACAGTTGCCATGACCTGGACACCACATGTACCAACTGACCACATATTCGTCCCGAACTAACTTCCGGTCTATCTTGGATTTCCGGGCCTGTCCCTCCTCTGTGTATTCAAAATAGTCGTCTAAGCTGTTCCGTGCCTGTTTTTGAGTTCCTCGCTTCCATGTCAACTTTGTGTTTTCCTTCACACCCTTCTGGCGACACAAAGTGACGTAATTTTTTTTAACGGCTCTTTTCCCTTTGTTGAGATATATACCTTGTATAAGGGGATGTTCTTTTAGAAATTCTCCCACTTTTACACCAACTTCAACAAAGTTTACCTCACCATACATTGATGACTTGTGAAGCTTGGCGCCTAAAAATCCAAATCTCTTGTCCATCCGTTTCCTTATCCTTCGGGTCTGTGACATGCTCCGTTTAACAATTTTAGCAGGTGGACTCATTATATCAGCCTCGTTGTCAAAATCGTAGATATTGGAATCATCTGTTTGAGTTTCCTGGTCGTCATGAGTGACGTCATCTTCGCTTTCGTCTGCGTAGGGTATAGTAGACTCTCCGTCAGAATGGTCTCTTTGAGACGATATATCGATGTCATCATCGGAATCGGACTCAAAAAAGTCCATCCGGTTCTTCTCTATCGGTTCGAAACACGACGAAATGTCCTTTCCCATGATCCTTTGCGCAACATTCTTCGCTTCGTCCACTGATGGGATTTTAGGAATTGCAAATGAGGGCGGCACAGGTCTTTCTAACATTGATATACTCGCTTCATGGGTTCTAACATTTATCAAACTATTTGCTGGACTTTCCACTCGAATGCTCTGCACACTTGGAGGTCCAGCAACAAGGAATTCGTCATTTGTCAGATCTGGCAAACTTCCCATAAAATCAAGACTCCTTATCGAACCCAGAGACGAAAGAGGGCGCTCAGTAAGAGCTTCCTCTTGGACTTCCGTTTCCCGCTCAGGAAATGACGTATTTTTACTAGAAGTTGTGTCATCAACCGTGTTGTTAATGACACTCTCTACACCCATGCCATAAACATCACGCCGATTTTGGTCGGCGGGGGCGTACGAGTCGCGTTTTTTCGACAACTCAGTCGTAAAAGTTTCCTTCCGGTCTAAGTTGATAACAGATATTGTGTTGGATTTAGGTGAGTACTTTATTTTTCTTTGAGGTCGTGTTCGATAAAATGGAGTTTTCTGAATTCGATTATCCAACGATTTCTCCACCTCCCGCCGACAAACACCTATTGTTTCGTTTTGGGAGCCTTTTCCCTTCACCTAGGAAATTTAAAATGTCTCATTATTAATTCCTTTAAAAAAAATCTTACAAGCCAGGCTTTAATCTTTTATAAAACAAATGTTTAAAGCATTCTTTTCATTGTCATTTGTCTATTCTCATTAAAAAAAATACATGTTTATATTTATCTTGTAAAATAAAATACTGAGAAAGGTAAGTTTTATCATAATGTCAAACGGTTTGAAATGAAGAGAAAACTGAGAGTCACGAGAACTTATGGAGTTCTATAAGTTTGGCACTACATAAACAAAATAAAAATCCTGAAGCACCAAAAGAAGACTTCCAGTTATTGACAAAAAGTCCTAAATAGAGAACACCGACTTCACTGTTTGAGTGATTATCTCACAGGTCTGTTATTAAAATTTTAGTAAATTAATCATCATTTCTTCTATAAATTCAAGTGTTATGAGAACAGAAATCCCTGATGAAACTGTAGCTCTACTGGTTTGTACTCATTATAAAAGAAAAGTCTGTGGCATCTGGATTTGAAAGTTGTACAGGTGTAGCTATGGCAAAACTGATAAATATGATCCTTCAGTTGGTTTAATTTACTAGTGTGCCAATTAAAATTGTAGGAAAACTGTAGGAGGAGTAGTATTTTGATTTTTTTTCAGACAACAGAAAGACAAGATGGACACCAGCTTACAATCACATAAGTTATTCTTGTCTAGGCCTTTGACCAGTAGAGCTAGAAATGTTAAAATTCTTTCACATGTTTTAGATACTTCAAAGCATTTAAACATAAACTTATCACTGACAATAATAATAAAAATATGTTATAATAATGATAAAATATGTTACAATGCAAACTTTTTTTTACTGTTGTACATACTTTCAAAGTATTTCAATAAATGTTACGGACAAGTTTTTTTTTCAAAGTATCTTAAATGTTAAAGTTTGTTTGCACTAGGGAAAACAGTACAGATTCTGAAGAATTCATTATAAACTGTTCTCAGAAAAAAATCTTAATCATTGAAATTCATACTTTTCTTTTCTGAAGATTGTTTATAGTTTATTCTGCTATCTTATTTGGAGGCAATCCCCTTTTTTCTGTGAAATATACAAAAAGAAGTCTTTTTTGAGATTGAACAGTCATAAAAGAATTCCACTATTACTGTGCTATGAGTGAGATTACTAACAGAACAATCTCTAAGTCTTGAAACAGTATCAATGGGTCTGAAGATTATGGCCACTTGTCATGTAAGGGATAGAATTGCTTAATATAGTGATTTTATACAGAAAATAACACTGGACAGGGTTAAAATTGATTGCAAATAGCAGCAAGTCCCTAAATTCAAAGGGCCACCACTGTTGCCAAGTCTCTACTCCTTTCGTTGTGAAAGAAGTAGTCTAAGAGACAAATGTTTAGGAATAAGGAATCTTCATGTTTCCTTTTACAGAACACAAAACCAATTGAAATGTCCTTTAAAATCCAAACAATCTTTTGCAGAGACTGAAAGCCATTGTCCAGTTCTGGCAAAACATAGTGTTTCTAATACAAATACATAACTTTTATAACATGTATGCAGCACAATTCAAATATATAACAGAATTAGCTTAAGGGTGACCAACAATATGGTTTTAACCTTTAGCACACACATTTTATAATATGCTTCACCAACTGAGCTATAAATTATATGTAAAGGTACACATGTAACCCACTCGCTAGTGCTATCAGGAATGTGGCCTCACTCTTGAGAACAACCACTCTACATCCCTACAATTTGTTTTTGGAATCTATTTTTTTTTTTGGTGTTCAGCAGGAATGTTCCTTTTTTACAGTCACAATTCCCTGTAATCACAATTTCTGTACACTCCTCAATAGACAATTATGCAGATTTCTTTTATTCATTTCATTTTCTTGTTTATTTGTAGTGTATAAAACTTTCTATACTGACAAACCAGCATGCAGACTTAAACATTAATGTAGGGGACAATACACATTTTCTCCTTGATATATATAAGAAATAGAACATAGCAAGGTTCAGTTTACAGCCAAATTTTTCATTGGTTCTAACCTACAACATTTGACTGGGTCAAGAGAGACAATGCATCTTGAATCCTATTACAATATCATGTACTGTTAATGTCCTTTTCATTCTCAGGATATCAATTTTACAAAAGAATTTCAAACAAACACCCTGTTTGAATGAAGAAGGATTAATTTTTTAACTGGCTATCATATAGCCACTTTCTGCTGGTCAATTTCTTTCAGCTTATGACAATACAATTTTGATATTTTTATACAATTTTACAAATACACGCCTTTTCATCAGCTTTGTCTAGGGCTGCATTCCCGGTCTTATGCTAAGTAACTAGCTTACCTCCTGGACAAGATATCATCTACTGAACACACCTATAAATTATGTTTGTTTTCACAGGGCTATACTAGATGTTCATTCAACTTTGTAGCACTATCTAGCAATACGTAGCTTCTATGACCTTGGATATAGCCCTGTCTTGCCTACAATAATTCCATTACAACAATGGACTTACTGCAGTAGGAATCTCCACTCCCCTTGACTGAAGGTCAGTGTGGGTAGTCTGAATTTCCTCTGTTTTGTCCCTGAGTAGATCAATAGCATGGGGAATCCCTGGACAAACAAATCGTAGACATTCCTGTAAATATAACCCATGTGTATATTATTGTGCAGACATTCCTGTAAATATAACCCATGTGTATGATATTGTGTAGACATTCCTGTAAGTATAACTCCTGTGTATGATATTGTGTAGACATTCTTGTAAATATAACCCATGTGTTTGATATTGTGTAGACATTCTTGTAAATATAACTCATGTGTATGATATTGTGTAGACATTCCTGTAATAATAACCCATATGTATGATATTGTGTAGACATTCCTGTAAATAAAGCCTGTATATGTCATGTGTATGATAATGTGTAGACATTCCTGTAAATATAACTCATGTGTATGATATTGTGTAGACATTCCTGTAAATATAATCCATCTATGATATTATGTAGACATTCCTGTAAATATTACTTGTGTATGATATTGTGTAGACATTCCTGTAAACATAACTCATGTGTATGATATTGTGTATACATTCCTGTAAATATAACCCCTGTGTATAATATTGTGTAGACATTCCTGTAAATATAACTCATGTGTATGATATTGTGTAGACATTTCTGTAAACAAAGCTAGTACATGTCATGTGTTTGATATTGTGTAGACATTCCTGTAAACAAAGCTAGTACATGTCATGTGTTTGATATCGTGGCTTAAAGTAGTGACTTATTCTGTATAAAACAAAGTGATGAAGATGAATGATGCAGTTCCAAAACTAGTTCTTCCAAATACTTCAGCCTCCCCATCCCTCCTTATCAGGTAATATCAAAAGTCAGGGAAGGTGACATTCTAAAAATAAAAGGGTGTCTAGGGTTCCTTCTTCACTGGAGTAGAGGGGACAATGCCAGAATACCCAGAATTATGTTATTTAAGCCGGGGGAATTCCCCAGCCCCAAGATCTTAAGGACAACCCCGAAAGTTCATCAAAAACATTGCTGTGTTTTTATAATCACATCAAATTCAGACGAGTATTAAAAGTGCATCTGAGTTGTCTACTTCCAGTACAGGGCTTAAAAAGTTTCCAGTGATTCAAAATGGCTACCTACATAATATTGTACTCAAATGAAAATGAAAGACAAAATATTTTGTATACTGAAAGATCATAAATGATTGGGTTAAATGGGCATCCACATTGAAATGGTCTGTATACAAATGCAAACAGGATATTAACCTATCCATTAAAAGAAATCCATATAATTTAGAGGTGTCCAAAGAGGACTACCTTTATTCAAGTGGAATATTTAGTGAGACACGGTTTAAGTAATTTGTCCTTAAGAATTTTTATATACATGTACATGTTTGTGTAGTAAATAAGTAATTTGGCAACCCTATGCCAAGAAAGATATACATAGCTATCTCCTCACAAATAATGCCAAATTGAATTCTCTCAAAAAAAAAACTCTGCCTATATGATAATACTATCTTAAGATGAGAACAGGGCAATTTGGAAAAGTTATATCCAGAAACAAAATGCAGTATCTCATATTAAAGCTTGGATTTGTATTTAAATACTGACTGTACATTTTATAATTATAATAATATAAATTATAATTTTAACTAAATTAAACTAAAGAAATTTAGTTTTTTAAGTGAACTGAGCAACTGAGCTGGTCACAAATTTGATTATTATGTACTACTGACCTCGGAAGCTTTGGCACTTCCTGGCAGATTGATTATGAGTGTACCGCCTCGTATTCCACAGACCAACCTAAAAAAGGAATTTAATAAATCAACTTACAATCACTGTAGATGAATTTCTAAGACTGTTATTGATGAGAAATTTAGTATCAATATCCCAATTAACAATTTAAAAACTATAGATTCATTAAAAAAAAATTAATGCACATATAGTCAAACATGGATTTAATAGTCTTTTCCTATCTGGGCTTAGAAGGTAATTAAACACAGATTTATTATTATAGTAAGTAACATTCCGCATACTTTAACCTAACACACTAACATTTATTTAATTTTACATATATACTCCTCTCCAATTTTCCTCAGGTTTCATGAATGTTAAGACATTCTCACTTTGAAAAACATACATTTCAATGTACCCAGGTATGGCTTATCAGGTGTTAGTCATGTGACTTTAAAGGACTTACCTGGGTGCCTTCATTATAGAGCAGTCATGGTTCTAAAATTTTTCAGGTCGGGTCAGTTCTGTTAATTTCAGTACGGTTTCCTTTTTTTTTTCGGTAAGGTTATTTACATCTTAATTTCATGAATTTAACTTGAAAAATCCTTATTTGATAGTTAAATTCACCTTTAAAACAAATCTTAACCATTTTACATCTTGACGTAGTTGTTTAGGAATACAAGGCCGTGGCTATTAGCTACAACCTGACCATTCCTGCTGGTTTTGATAATTATCTAATCCTTTCGTGACAAGTGTTTTGGCATGGAATGAAGTAGAATTCAGTTGTGATGTTTATCACTGTTTTATCACTATCATTTTTTTTTTTATTTCGACGCCATCTTTTGTATAAAACAGATTCTTATATATAAACCAGACCCAAAAGGAAATCCAGAAAAGTGGAACCGAAACCAAACCGAACAACTTGGACCACAGTTTTTGGTTATTTTGGGAAACTGTGACAGCCCTAGCCTTCAATGCCAATGAATTGTGACCCCCTAAGGACTTACCTGGACAGCATAGCTAATGGAGTGACCTCTAGAGACTGTTTCAATGAATGGTGACCCCTTAAGAACTTACCTGGACAGCATAGCTAATGGTGTGACCTCTAGAGACTGTTTCAACATGGCCAAGGTCATACCTAAGGCTTCTTTCTCAAGGACTGACTTGGTGGCCTACAAAGAAGAAAATTTGCATATATACCGGGGTAATCCAGAATTGAAATGAAAGTGCTTTTTAGTGCTTTAAGGAAGATAACTTTTATTACTCTTGAAAAATGATTGGGAAATTTTTTTTGGAGAAAAACCTACTTTGTTTCAGCCACAACAACATGAACAAATGCACTATTTCTAACAGTAACTAATTTGCAAATACAATACACTATATTTTCTTGGTCCCTTCAATAATAAAAAAAATAAAGCGTTAATACACCATCTTACCTCGGGTGTGACATCTCGGGGGGAGAACCCTGTCCCTCCTGTGGTCAATATGAGGTCCATTCTCCGTTTATCACTCCACTCGACCAGCGTAGACTTGATCTGTTCCTCCTCATCCGGGACAATCTTAGTCACCATCACACGGCCCGGGATTCTGTAAATCATAGCTAAATCATTACATAGTCACCACCACACGGCCCGGGATTCTGTAAATCAGGGTTACATCATTACATTTCTATACTGCATAACCCAAGGAAGCAGATACCTAGGTTGAATTGGCTTCATTTCTTTTTTTTCTAATGACAAATGTAAACTTAAGACATGTTCCTTCTCAGGAGAAACATACAGGGTTACACGTGTATATGGGTCTCACAGCACAGTTGTCAGAAACTGATCATGACAGGAAAACAATAAAAAATTGCCTGGACTGATAAAACTCTTGGATACGTCAGTCCAGATGAATGATAAACTTTTTAAAAAAATTGCAGAGCAATCAAAATAAAGAACACAGATGAACAGACCCTTCTTCTGACTGACAAACTCTGTCAGTCCACATGTCTGAGATTTTTTTTTAGAAAATTTAAACAACTCTTGAGAACATCTAATACTTTAAATATACTTATAAAAGAAGACAGCATGAATCATATTTTTATTAGTGCTTTTGCATTGCTTTTTATCCACGAATTGGAGTATATTTAGAACTAAAACGAGTTGTTTTTAAAATTCAAGTGCGCTATTTATGATTGCACTTATCAGTGGAAGAAAACAAACTCAATTTGGACTGCACTCATTAATGTATGTTAAGAGTATACTTACACTTTTTTGTCCTGAATTAATACAAACAGGTTCTTACAGCTTTCATCAATCGCCTCATTTCTGTAGCACCTGTCACTGACTGAAAACAAAGGAAATACTCCTTATACATGTTATATGTACGTGATTTCACTAATTCTGACACTTATACGATAACAATAGCACATCTAATTTAAATTTGTAAACCGCTCAATGGAAGAAAGATTTTAAAGGTAAAAATCTGACAACTCCCAGATAATCACAGAGACCCGATAGATACAGATGAAGTTTGCAGAATTCCCATTTACATCCAAAATCATAAACAGTGGAGTATCAGTATTTGGGAAATTAATTACCCAAACACATTCTGGACAAAACATTAGTTGACAAGAGAATTTTCATTTATATCTTCAAATAATAAAAGGTACAATTCAGAAATTTGCTTTTGAAGAAAACAGGTTTCCAGATTAATGAGGCTTCTCTTTATTTTAAAACCATAATGTAAACATTTTTTTTTAGTCCACACTGTGCAGTTGACTACAGGTGCTTTGTCTCAATGATTCTGAACCCTAGACTATCAGGCTGCGGGGCCTTAAAACTTAGACGAGCTCACTTTTGATCTCAGTCTCACTTGTAAGTGGAAAAGTGAGACAGAGATCAAAAATGAGCTTGTCTAAGTTTTATGGCCCTGGAGCCTGGACATGCAGTCAAATTAGGGAAGTCGAGTAGATAACGAGATATTTTTCATGCTGATGCATGGTTTGCACTGGTATGTTTCACTTCAATTCTGTTCATGCTCAGATGGATTGCACTGCGGGTTTTGTTAACTAAATATTAAAATAGCACAATATGAAAATTTTGTATTGAATTTTGTTAAGCAAACTTTCATATGCACATGAATGATTTAATACATTGACTGTTTTTTGTCACTGTAAGGTTTATTTTAAATACTGCATGACCATGCCCAATTCATTTAATATTACTCTAATAAAAATTTCCATCTAATAAACCTGCACTTATTAAAAATTAATTCAGCGTACATGTAGCTTGATTATAGTTTGATCTACAAATTAACCTAGATATACGTCACTATAAAATGAAATCAAGAGAAAATATTCTTTTAATATGTACTGAAGGTTAACACACAGATACATGTAAATTATACAATATGTTATTGGCATGTTATGGCAGTGTGAGTTTACAGGTTTAATTAACACAATGGTATATAATTATATGTATGTTCAAATCTAGCATCACCAGCACATCAACATTTTTACTGGCAGTCCAAAGGGCAAGTGCACTCAAACTTTTGAGTTGTCCAAATGCAAATCTCCGATGCCCAAAAACTTAGACAGAATAAAGTAACTAATCATGATTATTATTGTAAATGTTAGGATTAGAAAAAGTGTGACCAAATACTGTTCTATTGAATTCGGCTAGTTGAGTTGAAAAAAAAAATGATTTGCTGCTGACACTAGATTTGTGCACATATATGTATATTATCCATTCCTGTCAATAAAACTCAGAGCTGTAAACTCAGTTTGGACTAGTACTGCACATTGATCCTATAGAATGCTTTGCAACAACTTCACAATCCTTTGGCAAGTATATCTACTTAATTTTGAATCCTGACTATAACATCACAGTCTATGCAGACCTTCCAAATGTCTCATGTGTTTGAAGAGGTGAATAAGAGTTAAGAGTGAATGATTCACAATTGTGATCGCCCCAATGGTAACTCCATCAACATATATATATATATATATATATATATATATATATATATATATATATATATATATATATATATATATATATATATATATATATATATATATATATATATATCTTTTTATGTCTTTCTCCTATCAATCATGCAACTCTTTCTCTCTTGTGTGTATGTATATTGTATTACATGTATATGACTATATATAAATGTCAATTTACAATGTACTTTCTTTTTGCCCAATGAGGGCCCTTAATTGGTAAATAAACTAATTGAATTATATTAATGCTCTTATATGGAACTTATTATAAATATAAGATGTACTCATGTATGATGGAAAAATAAAAATTAAATCAAGACAGTTTGTTTTGCTTTCAGTGAGAAACATCACAGAACAAATAAACTCATTCATTGCAAAACTGAATCGATGCAGCACCAAACATCCTTGATTGGTTATGTTGGTACTGCTTATCTAAATAACTTGTATAAACTGGAGCTTGAACCTGAAATTTCTCGATTTGCTTGCTTTAGCTTAGTTCTGTGTAATTTAGCATTATTTTAATGTATATCAAGTATACTTACATGTAGATACGAATCATTTGAAGGAGAAATTTAATGATTGTTGAGACTTTGTTTGGAATTTTTAATCAATAACTTCTGTAAATGACCATGCCAAAACTTTTAGTCCTGTAAATGCAGCTCTGTTATGGGAAAAAGTGTCTGTGTTAAAGTGAGACGCAGTAGCCCCATGTATGCCCATATACAGCTATGTACAATGTGCAGTAAACAGCTGAACAGCGTGCGCAATCTACTTTCGTTTTTGTTCAGATATTTTTCCCTTGGGCACCCATCCATGACAGTTTATCTGGCCAGTTCCTGACTTATATTCACTCATGACCCACTTTCTGGGAGGCATACCTGTAAGAATACCAATCTGTATCTCCGTCATCTTCTTCCCCGCTCCCGAAGAATCCATGTTTAAACTTCCCAAATTACGGAATGTTGAGCCCGATTTATTAAAGCAGAGACAACGATTAAAACGATTAACCCCATTAAAGATTTAAAACTTATGATGTCCGAAAAAGTACTATGTCCGTGACACTAAAATAAGAGGCCCATGGGCCAAATCGCTCACCAGAGCTCTCATCTGTTCTTCAGAAGTTTTCCCTCTCTATTACCTATTTTGAGTGTGATATTGCACCCGGCCCTTCAAAAACAAAATATCAAAAATATCATTTTTGAAATAAATTCAGCATTCATCTGTTAGATTTTGATTATCAAACACTTCAAAGATGCACTAAAATGGTTCCCATTTAATTTATGAAAAATTTTCCGGCTCAGAGAGGGAACACATTTACACTGAATCAATTACGTAGCCCCTCTACAGACCCTCCTCCGCACCCCGCAACATATAGATCCGTCCCATAAAACATTTTGACCCTATGTTGTGGTCCCACCCTAGCCTCAAGGGGTTAAGATATATCCAAACTTGAATTCATCACTTTGAAATGCATCAATATGACTAATATGTGGTACTGATGCTCCCTTTGGAAAAGATTTGATTTTTTTTTTCCTGTAGCCTTCACGTACATACATGTACATGCATAATTTAGAATTTAATCTCAAATTTTTGCCCCGTATCCTAACCGCGGGGTCAATGTATAAAAAGGTAATTGCAGCTAAGCGATGTTTGCATTTTAATATCATTTAGTAGACCTGCTACTCTTGAGAAAGATTTCTTCCCTTCACATGCACATAAGTGTCTTGTAAATCTCAGAGAAAACTCTGATACCGAAAATCTGAGTTAGACGTGCTCTATTTATACCCTATAAAATATTATTAATCGTGATCTTTTTTCCCCTTTTTTTTTAATAGGAAATTTTTCATATCCTTTCCTTTTATGACCCCGCCCTATCCTTGGAGGCGACGATTTCTATAATTTGAAATATAAATCTATACTATAACAGTAACGTGGGCATGGTAACAAATAATTATGACTAACCACGGCTTTGCTGATTCCTAAAACAATTTTCCACTACATTCCCACGTAAAACTTTATTCCCCTATTGAGGCCCAGTTGCTACCCCAAATTCCATGATTGAAGAAACTTGAACCTACACAAAACGACGATATATCGTTTCCCACTTATCATAACTAAACATGACAAAATTGTTCTTCTGAAGAAGAATCTAAAAGATTTTTAGCTATATATTCACGTGTAAAATATTATTCTCCTATGGCCTCACGCTAGCGCTGTACCTGGAGTCATGTGATTTGAATTATATTGAATTTACCCAATATCATGAAGCCTGCGTATTATAAGTTTCATTGTTTTCGGTCCACAAGTTCTTGAGAAGAAAGTTTTTACCAATTTTTTCACAAATTCTTAGTTATCTCTCTTTGAAAGAATGCATGACTATTTATTGAATAAACGAATCCCCATCACTGAAGGATACACTATGGATAGTTTGGTTGAAATTGGTAAGTAGTTCTGGAGAAGAGGTCCATACTCTACTTTTTTTTTTTTACAGATGACAGGACATACTGACGAGGACACTTTTCGATCAAAAAGCTCCCTTGAACCTTTGGCTCTGGTGAGCTGACAATATTGATTCCAAAGACAATTGTGGGTATAGCCCTACATTCTACTGATTTGAAATCGGCATTTCTTTTGAATTTTCTAATATATGCTTTTGCTGCCTTGGACAACATCTTGTTAAATCAGGTAATTAATAAGATAATTAAATAAGATCTTCAAAACGTGTATACCCCTTGGGAATCAAAGCCATTAATCAGATAAACTGTGAAAATAAAAAAAAAAAATCGATCGTATATGAGACCGCCCAAGGACGGTGTTTGAAAGCTTAGACCGATTCAAATGAAATGTTTTTCTCATCTTTAAGCGTAGCTCAAGTAAAGGCACATTTCCAATATCACTACCTCCACAGTGAATAATTAAAATTTCAGGCGATGGTTCATACCTCGATAGTAACTGAATGCGGGCCGAGGGAACAACTTCCTCCATGTTAGATCACCCTTGCCCTGCCCAAGGACGTGATAATTTAGTCGTCTAAGTCCCAGATGAAAGGCTTGCGCGTTGGAAAGCCCGGTTGGTAATGGATGACCCAAATATCCATATACTTTGTCCCTGCCCTATGTGATAAATTATATTTCACTTAGTTCTAATATATTAAGTTTAATATAAGTCTATATATAAGTCTGATATAAGTTTTATAAGCATGATAAATCCATCTACCGTTTTTCATTATAATTTCGGATTCAGAATGCCCTTTAGAAAAGAAGTCCGAGGCAGCCCCAATTTGGAACGAGTGGGAAGTGTAACGTGAGTTTGAAAGACCTAAAATATTTAGGCACCTATTGCTTATTTGTAAATTGATAACGGGAAAGTGGGCTGTCGTCTACGTGAATAAAAAGCTGACCATTTATTTTTGGTCTGACAGACAAATATCTTTGCAAATGAAAGAGGGGCATATAACTGGCATAGATCACTCGTTCAACTGAATTGCTGAAGCATTTCCTGTTTGGTCAGTCTTGGAATATGTAACTACTGTTATTTTTTTTAATACTTTCTTATTTAATGACTGATTGAATAAAATGTGTATACTGTTAATGCCCACAATATGGCGAATATCACCTGTTTTATTGCATGTAAATTTACCGACTCTCAAAAAGGCATGGTACGCTAGGAAAAAGGCAGAGCAAAATAGGTATGTTTCAAAGTTAGAGGAGCACACTTAACTTGAAATTGGTGTGAGCTTTTTCAAAATGATTTCGGAAATCGGTAAACAACGGTCTTCTGATTTGCGGGAACGTGTTATACCCTCTAATAATTTCCTAACCAGGAAGCATTGTATATAGTCATTGACATATTGGTACCTATCAATTTGCATTTAAAACTTATCCAGATAAATAAGCTGATATTGTACTTTAGATGCTGTACGCTAAATCACGAAGGGTCAAGTGAGTGATGAATATACACAAGTGAGAGAGGGAAGGACTCCAAATCTAGACCTTAGTCATTCCTGAAAGTAAAAAATATCTACTTGAGTACTGCAGTTTCGTGTTTGGGGCGTTAAATGATCTATGTCAGATCTAATATAAAAAACAAGAGGCCCATGGGCAACAATGCTTACCTGAATCAATATGGCCTTGGTCTTCTTCATCTGAAGATTTTTTCTTATATATTCCTATGTACAACTTTCATTCCCCATTGTGGCCCCACCCTACCCCCAGGGGTCATGATTTGAACAAATTTGAATCTACACTACTTGTACCTGAGGATACTTCCATATCAATATGACTAATCATGGCTTTGCTGTTCTTGAGAAGAAGATTTTTCAAGATTTTCCCTATATATTCCTATATAAAATTTGATCCCCTATTGTGCCCCCACCCTACTCCCGGGATTTTAAAACACAAGAATCTATACTATCTGAGGATGCTTTTATATCAATATGACTAATCATGGCTTTGCTGTTCTTGAGACGATTTTCAAGATTTTTTGCTCTATATATTCCCATGTAAAAATGTGATCCCCTATTGTGCCCCCACCCTACCCACGTGGGTCATAATTTGAACAAACTTGAATCTACACTATATGAGGATGCTTTCGTATCAAAATGACTTTTCAAGGGTTTGCTTTTCTTGAGAAGAAGATTTTTCAAGATTTTTTTCCTATATATTTCTTCTTTGAACCCCTATTTTGCCCCCAACCTTAATCCGGGGGTCATGACTTGAACAATATTGAATTAACACTATATAATGAAGCTAGGACTCACATAAGTTTCTTTTTTTTTTTTTTTTTTTTTTTTTTTTTTTTTTTTTTGGTTTCACGCAGTTTAATCGGGTACAAGTGAACTTATTTCATTGCTATAATAATTTGATTTATTTTGTAATGAAAATAAATTGTACTATAAAACAAAATAACATTTTTTTTTCTCATTACGTTTTCTTTACCCAGGAGAAATTATGTATATCCGAGTAGCAGTTTTGCTTAGCGATACTCGAATCGTTCGACGGTTTCAAAACCGGGTACTCGTTGCCACCACTACTTTAAATTGATGAGAAACATGTCGGTCACCATACGGCCAAACGATTCCTTGTATTTTCAAACATAACCATTTTAACGACCATAAAATTTGCGATATCCTGACGTTAAACGAGAACACCTTGTACCATCGACTTTCGTGTTACTTAGTAGACTGCGTTTAAAAATTGATTGTTCTCCGAACATGCTCTTGCATTGAGTAACGAATCAGCTGGTAGACAACACCATATACAGGTGATTGTGGAATATTACTGCATAAAGGAGAAAGTGGTCTATAAATGTTCATGATTACATTATGTCCTGTATTTAAAATTTATTGTTTAATTTTCCTTTAAAAGAACCCTGGTAAAATACAATGTACACTATAGTTTACTTCAGTTAACTTTTATTTAGTAACAAAATTTCAACGTCTTTTTCTAAGGTTAATCCAATTTTAACTGTGTTTAACTACTGTGAAAACACTAATATTCGCTGGGGGTTAATTGTCATTGTTTACCTGGTATGAAGAGACCCACGATCTCGTATTCTCCACGAAATGCCAAAACTTCATACATGTACTACAGTATAATTTTCTCCTTTAACAGGGAAATCAAATCTCGTACCAGTAAAACTTCCTCAAACCACGAAAATTCCACCCCAGGCCCCGGGATCATGAAACATCTTAAGCTTAAGTAATCTTTATGTTGTACTCAATTTTTGTAAAAGTTAAGCAGAACAAAATTAAAATATTTTTTCAATATTGCTTTACAAAACATTTGATGTCTGCAAAGGGTGTATTCGGGTTTTCAAAAGCTTTGGCCTATAGAAGAGAAAAAAGTTTCCCGGAAAAAGTAATATTCAAAAATCAATGTTCATTTAATTTAGATGTTTTCTACCATTTATTTGTCTAAATTTTTCAAATTTGCATTTT